TTGTATTCTCTCCCTCTTTTCCTTTGTTAAATTTGCCAGTGGTTTGTCAATTTTATTGATCTTTTAAAAAAATCAACTTCTGGTCTTGTTTATTTTTTCTATTGCCCTTCTATTTTCTGTTTCATTAATTTCTGCTCGATATTATTTCCTTTCTTCTGGTGACTGCAGGCTTTTCTTTCTTTTTCTAATTGTTGGAAATGTTGGTTTAAAGTGTTGATTTTGGCTCTTCTTTTTTGCCGTGTGCATTTATTGCTATAAATTGGCCTCTGATCACTGCTTATGCTGTGTCCCAAAGACTTTGGTATGTTGTCTTTTCACTCTTGTTTGATTCAAGGAATTTTTGAATTTCAATTTTTATTTCTTTTACCCAGTCTTTCTTAAGAAGGGTGTTGTTCAGTTTCCATGTGTTTACTCTTTTTCCGTTGATCTTCCTATTGTTGATTACCAATTTGATAGCATTATGATCTGAGAAGATGCTCTGCAGTATTTCAATATTTTAAAATTTATGAAGGCTTGGTTTATGGCCTAACATATGGTCTATCATGGAAAATGTTCCATGTACAGTGAAAAAGAATATATATTGTGCTGCTGTTGGGTGAAGTGCTCTGTAGATGTCTATAAGGCTAAGCTGGTGGAGTGTATTATTTAGCTCTTCTGCATCTTTGTTGAGTTTCTTTCCAGTTGTTCTATCTTTGCTTGTTTAAGTGGTATATTAAAGTCTCTCACTATGACTGTGGAGTCATCTATATGACTTTTCAACTCTTTTAAAGTTTGACATATATTTTGGGGCTCTTTCATTGGGTCCATAGATATTTATTATGGTCATATCTTCATGTGCAATTTATACCTTAATCATTATATAATGTCCTTCCTTGTCTCATATGGTGGCTTTTGTCTTAAAGTCAATTTGATCAGAAATTAAAACTACCACTCCTGCTCTTTTACGGTTGCCATTTGCTTGATATATCTTTTTTCAACCTTTGATTTTTAGTCTATTTTTATCTTTGTCTCTAAGTTATATCTCTTGTAGACAGCATATTGATGGATTTTGTTTTCTTATCCAATCTGCAACTCTCCGTCTCAAGTGGTGCATTTAATCCATTAACATTCTGTGCTGAGCTCATTATGTTTATAAATCATGTTATCATTTCCTTCGTTGCTCTTGTTTTACTTCTGCTATTTGTGGTTGTCCTCTTTTTTACTGTGATGTGAAGGTTTGTCATTTTTCTTTGAGGTTACCCTGTGATTTATAATTTTCTCCCCAAGTTTAGAACAGTTCATTCTATCTTGCAAGTCTCTTGACTTCCTCACCATTTACAAGTTCTGTAACTACACAGTATTTTCCCTCTTTTTGGTTTGCAGTTGTCCTCAGTTGCCAATTGATGTCTCTGGTTCCCTGTTTACAATCTTGTAGGCTTATTTTACTTTGGATATGTCCATAGCTGTGGTTTCCGGGTTATGTCATCTTGTGTATTAATGGTCGGTTGTTATTTGCTATTTTTGGTTCTCTGTTAGTATCTCTTATAAGGTTGGTTTGGTTTTAACAAATTCCCTTAGTTTCTGCTTATCTGGAAATCTCCTAATTTCTCTATCATATTGAGGGATAATTTTGCTGGGTATATAATTCTTGGTTGAAAATTTTTCTCTCTCAGGGTTTTATATATACCATCCCATTGCCTTCCTGCTTGCATGCTTTCTGCTGAGAAATCAGAGCTGATTCTTACTGGTTGTTCTTTGTAAGTGACTTTTTGTTTTTCTCATGCTCCTTTCAGGATTCTTTCTTTGTCTTTGGTTTTGATGAGTTTGATGATGATGTGTCTTAGTGATTTCCTTTTGCAGTCTATCCCGTTTGGGGTTCGTTGGACTTCCTGAATGGATATATTCTCATCTTTCATCATATCAGGGAAGTTCTCCTGCAACAAATCTTAGACAATTTTTTCAGTGGTTTTATATTTCTCTTCCTGTTCAGGAATTCCAATGACATTTATGTTATTCCTTTTGATGGTATCCCACATGAACCTCAGACTTTCTTCATTTTGTTTTCATCTTTTTTTCTGACTGATCCCCTTCCAAAGAAGTATTCAGGTATTTGTCTTCAATCTCATTAATTTTGTCTTTCATTGCATCAGTTCTACTCCTTTGCCCTTCCAATGCGTTATCTAATTCTGACAATTTAGTATTAATCTTCTGGATTTTTATCTGTAGATTTAGACTCATTTCTAATTTTTCATTTATTCTGTCATTTTGTTCCTGTATTTTCTTCCAAAAATTTTCTAGGGTTTTGTTTGTGTTTTCCTTGATCTGTGTCTCAATGCTTTGAAGATACCTAAATATAATTCTTTTGAATTCCTTATCAGAAAGTTCCAATGCTGCTTCTTCCTCAGAGTTGTGTTCTGGTCTGTATCCTGCTCCCTTGTTTCTACCACTTTGTGTTGCTTCTTTGTGTGGACTGTGATGGTCTGTTGTCTCTGAGACATCATGATGTTGTATTTAGATCTCTGTTAACTGCTTGTGAAGAGCAGCCAAGGGTGAGTCAGGCTCTTCTTGGTGGTTGTTTATCATTGCCCATTAGTGGAGAAGGAAGTGGTTGCTCTCACTCAGTAAGTGAAGCTGCAGGAAGTGTCAGTGTAGTTGTGTCATATGGGGACTGTTGATGTCTTTCACTCAGTTAGACAAAAAGAACAATTGAATAACCACCAAAAAAGTAAAAGCACACGGACAAAAAACACACCATGTGATCACACCCAGTAACCAAAAAAATAAAAAAGAGAAAAAGACAAAAAAAAAAAAAAAAGCCCTGCAATATTTGGGAAGAGGGCAGTAAGAGAAAAAAGGTAGAGAAGGAGAATGATGAAGAAAAAATGGTAAAAATGCACAAAGAAAAACAAGGATTGGGGTTAACCACAAGAAAGAAAAAAAATTGCAACCAGGTACAGGCAAAAGAAAAAAAGCTGAAAACTAGAACCTGGGAAGGGAACAATAAAGAATAAAAGTAAAAAGAACAAAAGTAATAGTAATATCAGTAGTTTTAAAACAGATAAAAGCAAACAAACTAAAAAACAGAAAACATGAGATCGGGGCAGGGCACCCCGGCTCCATCTGAGCTCGCAGACTGGGATGGAATTCCTGCTGGCCCAGAAAGTTGGTGGGAGTGAGGGATGGCTGCACCTTCGTTCTCCAAGAGGGTGTGGGGTATGAGTAACGAGGGGAATGTCGCACCTTTCCAGTTGACCGGGTCTGGAATGTCCTTGTGGTTACCGACAACTGGAGTGTGTCCTTAAGTCCCTGGAAGCTGGGAGAACGCTGTCACTTTAAATATTCAAAATGTCAAGCCACTTGTATACATTCAAAATGGCTGTGCCCTCAGGACAGGCAAATGTCCTTAGCTCAGCTCACCTTCCTCTTCGCTGCTGCTTCTTTTATTCCCCAACCACCAGAGCAGTCATCTGTGTAGTCCCTGGTAGCAGGGCTGATTTTTAGGTTAATTCTTAGGTCCTACCACCACTCGGCAATATCCAAGCTGTCTGTGCCATCAGGATCACTGCCAGACCACAGCTCTGTATGTTTCCTTTTGGTGTTTTCATGGAAATTCTTCTGCTAGTTGGAGTTTTGTCCACTTCTATATCCTTCCCTTCAAGGCTCAGTGGTCCAGGATTATCTTCTGTATCTCTGTTAATTGGTTCTTTTCTGTTGAAGAGGGTCTGTGCAGTCTTTCTGCCTATTCCACCATCTTACTGGAACTCTCAAACTTGGTCTTTTTTTATGATTTTTAATTTTGTTCTACATTGTTCTCCCACTCTATCCAGGATCTCTTGCACTGATCCCCCTCCAACAGTGTTAGCCGGGACTATCTAGTTCTTCTGGTCTCATGGTCATATAGGCTGATGACTGCATGGTCTACTAGTTCCTTGGACCAACTGTTTCCATGTGTCTTTGGTTTTCTTCATTCTTCTTGGCTCTGGATGAGAAGAGACGCATTGTTGCATCTAGATGGCTGCTTGCAAGCTTTTAAGACCTCAGTTGCTACTCACCAAAGTAGGATGTAGAACAATGTTTTTGTGTAGTATGTTATGTCAATTGACTCTGATATCCCCTGCAACCATGTTCCTGAGCCCCTAGATCCAACTAACTTGCTCCCTCAGGGTGGTTGGCTGTGGCCAAGAAGTTATCATAACTTTTCCCCTTGTTAGGTCTATTATATATCTGGACATTCTTACAGCACATACAAATACATATGTAGAAATACTGTCTGCCAATTACATACATGATCATGGGTATACTCCCTTTTGCCTAGATATATCTTATCATTCAGCCTGTCTATCCATCTATTTACCCATAGATTAATGTTTGTTATCACTGACAATGCAGTTCTGTATATGTAAAGGGGTTTATCTTTGTTGTCTGTACCTCTTCTGTACTTCCCTCTGTCTTCCTCTTTCTCAGTGAGGTAGCATTTCTTAATTTCAATATTTCACACTTTACTTTAAAAAGTCTCTGAAATTGCTTAAATTAGTTAAAAAAGAAAAACAAAAAAGCTTGTTCAGAGAGTTCCAAACTGCCTACCTAGCAGGTGCAATTCTCACTTGTCTCTCTTTTGTTCTCAGATTCTAAGCATTCAATCACTTAGGAGCTGTGAGTGAATGTATCTTGTATTTTCCATTTACTAATACAGCATTTACTAATGTTGGGATATGGAAGCAAAATGTCTTCTAAGTTAATGGAAGGTAAGAGAATATTAGATTAATATCCTTACCCCTTCACTGGTTTTTTGCAAGTCTGAAGTTGTATTTCTTGTGTCATTGCCGGCATCTCCACCCTCAGAGCTGCTTTTGTTTTCTTCTTCTTTGCAGTCCTTATCATCTTCATCTCCTGGAGATTTCCGGGACTGTTTAGAGGATTTCTAAACATTTAGACAAGTTACAAATTATAGTCAAAAGTAGAAATCCAAATACGTGAGTGTAAGTAAGAGATGCAGAAGTAGCTGATCTATATCCCAGTCTTTGTAACTTGATATAGTTTCTATAGCTGCAACAAAGCTGAGCAAGATGACCCTGGACAAATCATTTCACCTCACAGGGCCTCAGCTAAGCACTGGAAAGGAGGTGGCGGTGGAGGTGGACTAGATGACCTCTTAATTCTTTCCTGCAGTGTGTCACTAAAGGCAGAAAAGGTTCACATGGCCAGGACACTGTCACTGAATAGATTGCACATTCAAAAAAAAAAAAAAAAAAAAAAAAAACCCCAAAACCACTACCATCGAGTCAGATTTGACTCACAGTGACCCCTTCTTGGGTTTCTGAGGCAGTATCACTATGGAAATAGATTGCCCAACCTTCCTTCTGAGGAGTGGCTGGTGGGTTTAAACTGCTGGCCTTTTGGCTGGCAGTCAAATGCCTTGGCACTTGTCCCCAGAGCTCCCAGAATGCACATCAGGAAGGCAATTTGTCCATTAGGGAAATCATATAGAATTTTACAAAGCTGGGAAGCACCCTAAAGGTCAACTTGTTTTTCCCCATCATATTAGTATAGTGGAAAATGAGGTCCAGAGAAGTGAAATGAACTATCCAAAATTACATATGGATATTTACACAGGGACCCCAGTATAAGCTATTTAGTCACTGGTATATATGGAATCATTATGACAAAAATTTTTTATCACTGTATAATACAAAATAATTTTAATATTTCTAAGGGCTCTGGTGGTACAGGGATTAAGGCATTAGGCTGCTAACCAAAAAGTCTGTTCAAATCTACCAGCTGTTTAGTGGGAGAAAAAGGAGGCAGTCTGCTTCCATAAAGATTTATAGCCTTGGAAACCCTATGGGGCAGTTCCACTCTGTCCTATAGGGTCACTATGAGTTGGAATCAACTTGATAAATTTGGTTTTATATTTATTTAAGAATCCAAACTACACTGGTGAGCAGCCCTGTTTTCTTGTCATCTTCTATCTGAAATTAAGGTAAACCCTAGGGAAAATATAATTACAGTTTGCAGCAAGAGTTACTTATTTAGTACAATAGCATTAATACGATAAAAAGCTGGCCCAACTCTGCACTTTAAGGAAATAAATTGTAGTATTTTGCTAACATTTCTTCTTTGAGGAATTTAAAGAATCTTTAAACATTCGGCAAATAAGAGCTAAGGCTAAACTGATTTAGTCAAGTCAATTTTGGTCTTCCAGAAATAAATTAGCACAGTTGGCCTTCCTCAATCAATTTTTTAAAAATGTAACTTTTGACAAGAAAGTATCTTCTAGTTATGTGATGAAATATATAATCATGTGGCTTCTATTTTATTCAACTGAAACCACTAAGCAAGCCCAATAGGCAGTATAAAATGAGATCATTTGTATTTTTAAATAAATGGAAAGCAAGGATAGCTAAGACCAAGTATGACACTATAAAAAGCAAAAATACTTTATATTCTACTAGTAAATACAGTATAATTTTTGAAATGTAGTAACTGCTTTGTGATTCTTAAATCACAGGTCCTTGACCTGTGGTTCCAATAGATAACAATGTGCAACTCCCTAAAATTTATAATACTTACAAAGAATATTTGTGAGTAACTTTATAAGTGAGTTGATAAATATTATCAGATTTTGGTATATATAAGGCCAGAATTAGGACATTATCAGAATTTTACTAAAGAGTCAAATTCAGTATCCTACATATCAGAGTTTTACTAAAGAGTCAAATTCAGTATTCTACAAAGAAATCTGGGTGCAAACTGTATTTGATAACCTTGCAAAGTAACCTGCATGTTAGATTGTTGGAATTTCTATAATTTGGGGGAAGGACCCTTCATCTAATTTATCAGTGTGGTCTTGAATTGGTCGTGTTTCTAATCATCGCTATCTATTTTTTTTTTTTAAAACTAAAATCACAGGTGGTTTAGCATCGTCATTATCAGCTTAGTTTGTAGTCAAGGCCTTGGTTGCACAGTGGTTAAAGTGCTTGACTGTTAACTGAAAGATGGGCAGTTTGAACCCACCAGCCGCCTTGTGGAAAAAAGATGTGGCAGTCTATCTATTTCAGTTAAGGTTACAGCCTTGGAAACCCTATGGGACAGTTCTATTATGCCCTATCAGGTTGCTATAAGTCAGAAGTGACTGGACGGCTGTGAGTTTGAAGGCTGATTAGTGCTACTACTGTACACAGTGAAAAATTTGCTTGCAGATTATTTTTAACCTATATATTTTCCAGTGTTTGTTATGGTTCAAATATGAATCATCCATCTCCTTACTGCTAAAGATATATATTTAACACCTCAAATATCTACTTGTACTTTGACTTTTCATTATGATTTCTTTTCTCAGAAAAATGGAATGGGATGAAGCTAGAGGATGTGGGACCCTTTCCTCTACCTAACTGGGATACAGTCAAAAAAAGTTTTGTTTCCTACAGCCAAAGGAAGACTATTCAACTTAAATAAATGTTAAAAAAAAAAAAAAAAAGTACCAAATCTAACAAAAAGGAAGCATTTGGGAAGCCAAAGAGACCAACCAGGTTATGCTAGATAAATGTTTCTATAAATATGGTTCCCAGACCAGCAGCATTAGTTTCACTTGGAAATGTAATTAGTTGGCCACACTTCAGAACTACTGACATATACAAATCTAAAGGTAAACTCAGCAATCTGTGTTTTTTAACAAGCCCTCCAAGTGATTCTGATGCATGATAAATAACTTGAGAACCAATGCACTAGGTTATTACTCACCTGATAATAAAAAGTCAATTCTTAAGTGATCATGGAAGTTGTTATTTTCAAAGAAAGCTAAGAAAACGATCTTTTTTTTTTAAAAAATAGACAAAAAATTATGTCTTTATCCCTCACACTTTTAAATTACAAATCCACCTTAGGTATCAACTCTAGAACCCCATTAACTTCCAGTCTTGGCAATAAGCAATGAAATGACAATTAAAAGCCACACTAGTAAATGCTACTATTTAGCACTATTAAGGAAGGTTATCTTAGGTACTTTAGATAATTTAGAGGAGGTCCAACAAATTACATACAAAGAAATTCAGCAGTCAACCACAAATTAAATAAAATCAATTAAAGTGACTAAGTGATGTCCAAACTGCTAAAAGAAATTCAGACTAAAAAATACCTGAAATGGAAGGTACAGCCTGACAGGGAAAATTCTAACTAAATATCAGATTTGTTATTAGGTGCACAGGAAAAATGAATACTGCATTCACACATTTTATCTGTTTGCCAAGTGGGTAGATTTTATAGACTGCCAAAATAAAATGTTGATAGACTGATACCTGTTCGTATATTTGTAAGGTACATTCCCAAGTATATCCAGCCTTACACTAAATACTAGGATCTAAATGGAAATAATTGACCCAAGTATTCAATAGTGTGATAGATCAATTTTAGTGAAATCAGTCTTCAAGGATCCATTTCTCTTTCTTTCCATTTCTAAAAGGTGAATAATTTTCACAATCTCACAGTTTTTTCAATTGCATTTCTGAACTACTGAATGAAAAGCCTAGACTATCTATTTGCAAATCAAGGATCATGTCACTCCTGTTTAAAACCTTCAAGAAATTACTGTTACATTTGGAATACAATCCAAACCTCTTACTATGGACTACAGGTCTGCATGATCTGGACTTGCTTGCCTTTTACTCAGTCTCACGTCACTCCCCCCTTATTCATGATTCTCCAGCCACATCTGCTTCTTCAATTCAAGCACATGCCAAACTCTTCCCTGCTTCAAAGCTTTGCTGCTATATTTCTTTCCTCTGCTACATGCATGGCTGTCTCCTTCTCTTCCCACATCCTCTTCTCATGTCTCAGCATGAACTTTATCTTTTCAGAAAGGCCTTGTCACCTTAAGTAAACATTTATATCCCCCTACTCTGTCATTCCCTGCTTTCATTCATATATCTCATAGCCCTTTTCACAATTCATTCTTCACTTGTTTACTTGATTGCTGTGTCCTTCCCGGCCCCATTGTACAATATCTGGCATAGAATAGGTGATCAGGAAATAAAAGAACTGAATAAATAAAGAGCCAAAGCACATTCTTTGAAGCAGAAAGACAGGTAAAAGATTCTATGTATGTATTTACATATACAGTGCATAGACATAGTCCTGATATACTGAGTCTCCCGCATTCCTAAATTCTTCAGAGGTTACTGTAGGAGGCATAACTACTCAAATGTTTTTAACTAAAGAACAATTCTCCAAGTGAGAAGGTGACATTTTCCAACCAAAAGTACAGTCAATCAGCCCCAAAGAGTCAACAGCCACATTGCCTTCACATCTAAGGTTACTTATCTTATTCTCCTATGCTATGCTTTTATCTCTACAGGAAGGGGTTCCATAGAATCTAGTGTATTTTTATGTGCCAAATAAATAAATTAAAAATAATCCAAAATCTTTTAATAAACATGCATGTAAAATTAATGACAACAATTTCTCAGTAACCTTTGAAGTGTATGATTTTTTCCGTTTTGAGCCTGCTTTTTCATTCTTTCTTTTGCCTTTTCCATCTTCTTCTACTCTATCACCTTCTTCCTCACTGCTTGCATCTGCAGTATTTCCACCTTCTCCCTCAGTTTCTGAAGAGCTCTGTTGTTGAATTGCCTTAGAAATAATAAAATATTGGTTAATCACATTTTTGAAAGAACAGAGACTGAAAAGAATCACTCTCTTTTAGTCTTTTAAATTGTTATTGAGGATATATACAGCAAAGATACCCCAATTCAACAGTTTCTACATGTGTAATTTAAAGACATCGATTATACTGCGTTGTGCAACCATTCTCACTCTACTTTTCTGAATTGTTCCTTCTTCATTAATATAAACTCACTGCCCTCTAAGGTTCCTCTCTAATCTTTTGAGATGCTGTTGTCAACTTGATCCCATTTAGATCGTTTTTAGAAGAATATAATGTGCAAGGGGACAAACCTTTTACTAGTTAAACTATTGTTCTAAGATGACTTCAGCGGATAATTTTGGTTTCAGGTTTAAAGATTATCTCAGGGCAATAGTTTCAGGGGTTCATCCACCTTCCATGGCTCCAGTAAGTCTAGAGTCCATGAAAATTTCAAATTCTAGCCTGTATTTTTCCCCTTTTGATCAGGATTCTTCTATGGAATTTTTAATCACAATGTTCAGTAATGGTAGCTGGGCACAATCTAGTTCTTCTGATCTCATGGCAAAGGAGGTCTTTTTTATTTATTTATTTATTTATACACACACACACACACACACACACACACACATAAATCATTAGTGGTGCCCAGGGAGGGAGGAAGCGGAAGCTTTTGTTTGCAGGGCACTGAGTTTATGCTAATGGTAGTGGAGTATTTTTGAAAAGGATAGCAACAATGGTGGCACAACATGAAAAATATCATCAGTTACCCTGAGCTATAAATTGGGAAGTTGTTATGTTGGTGAATGTCTCGTTGCATATGTTTTCCCCATAATAAAAGTGGAAAAAAAAAAAAAAAAACCCAAAAAAACTTCACTGCCATCAAGTCGTTTCTGACTCATAGCAACCTCTAGTTGGTTTCCAAGGCTGTAAAACTTCATGACTCATCTTTCTTCCATGGAGCAGCTGGTGAGTTCAAACCACTGACGTTTTGGTTAGCAGGCAAATGTCTTAACTACTACACCACCAGAACTCCTCAGATTTATTCCTAGGTATTTTATTCTCTTAAATGCTATTATAAATGGAATTGTTTTCCCTGTCAAATTTCTCAATGCTGATTATAGAAACCCAAATGATGTTTGTTTGTTGACACCGTACCATGCAACTTTGCTAAATTCCTCTTTTAGTTCCAGAAGTTTTCTTGTGGACTCTCTGAGATTTTCTATATAGAGTATCATATAATCCACAAACAGATAATTTTACTTTTTCTTTTCCAGTGTGGAAAACTTTGTTTCTTTTTCTTGTCTCATTGCTCTGGCTAGGACTTCCAATACAACACTGAATAGAAGTGGTGACAGCAGGTACTCTGTCTTGTTGAATCATTCTATTTTAAATGGAAAGAGTTCAGCTTATTCTTAACATTTTCAAAATAAAGGTTTGGCAACCTGAATTTTCTGGTGACCATTTAAACCAGGGGTAACAGAATTCTACTTTATCAAAACTGCTGCTGGAACTAAAAAGCATTCTGACTTCAAATGGATATTGACCATTAGTACAAAGGACATATAAGAAAAGCCCAAAAAGAGGTAAAACCAAAGAAATGAGATATAGTGAGTGATGATAAAGTAAAGTTACCTGGTATCCAGTAAACTTTACTCCTGGGTTATTTTCTATTTCCCACAATCCTTCATTAAATCCTTTCCTTTTGTTTGATTTTCCAAACTTGTCTTTGTATTCCTTATATGGGAAAAGGTCTTTGGGACCTAGAAATGCACTGCAGAGAAATATGAGAAATAGAATTGACATTATGGCCTTCAAATGTAAAGTATTTTAAATATCAGCATCAACTAAAGGGTTATAGCATATCTCAGTAAGCAAATTTAAAAAATATATAAACTCTGAGTTAGACACTTATCACGAGATGCTTTAGATATATGTTAGAAGGCAGAAAAAGGTGGATAGTGGGGTACATAATCCAGCAACCCTGGCTTGTACTACTTTGATTTTTACTTTAAAATTACCAATTTCTTCTGTTTTAAAATTGATTTTTAATTACACAAGGGGCATTAAGTAAGTCTTGTTCTACCACTTAAATCATCTTAAACTAAGACTTATTTATGCTAATCATACCATAGGTTAAGAAAAGAGTTTTGTAAAATCCGTAATAATCATATGAACATTGATTAAAAAATTTAATTCTATCATATTTGGTATTCATTCACTAATATTTCTACAAATTAAAAAAAACACATTGTTTAATGAGACACTAAGCTAACAACAAGCAAAAAAAGTGACAAAGTACATAGAATCTTGTAAACTTTATTGTAAAATAATCATAGCCATGAAAAAAAAGTATGTTATATTTGTTGCTAACGGACCTCTAAAACTGAGGCACTTGGCTTAATTAAATGTCTGACATAAAGTCTGAATCAAAATTCCCTCCTGTTACAAGCCCCTGCTTCTGCATTCATGAGAATGTAACTCTGACTTCTTCCCATTCATGTGCATATAATCTTGGGCCTCTGGATGGGTGGGATCGAGGACTGGCCCTCTATCAATCACCCTGTTTAACCAGCCTGGTTCTTTCCCGAAGCCATTCTCAGAAAATAAGGCTGTTGCTGTTATCATAGTGACCCCTCCTTGGGTTTCCGAGGCAGTATCACTACAGAAGTAGGATTGCCCAACCTTCCTTCCGAGGAGTGGCTGATGGGTTTGAGCCTCCAGCCTTCTGGTTAGCAGTCAAGTGCTTTAGGCATTATGCTACCAGAGCTCCTGAGAAAATAAGGCAGGGGGTCAGGAATGTGATGGTAGGGGAAAAGAGTTTTACTCAGGATGTTCTAGGAAGAAGGTGATTTAGAATGGATGTGACCATCACACATTCTTCTCCTCCATCTTTACTATATAAAAGCACATTCCTCCCTTCTTACTTCGGAACACCTGGTAGATTCCTCTCTGCTTTGTGTTTCTCCAATTCATGAAGTGTATTACCTTCAATAAATCTCTTTGCTTTTACTTTAACAGAGTGACAGATTAAAACCTGGAGATCAACTAATAGATCTAAGCATTCAAATTAGAGTCTTTACCGTTATTACCTAAGATATTAACCTGGTGAATCAGACTATGAAGGTCTATAACCTGGCTGACTCCTTTGAAGTTCACATTCCAAACTAGGATTCATTTATTCATTCTTAACAAGTATTTATTGAACATCTAAATTATGTACCAGACACTATTCCAAAGGTGTAGGGGATTTTTCAGGGAACAAAGAAATAAACATCTCTGTCTTCATGGAGTATATATTGTAATGGTGGAGGGTGGGAGGTTTAGACAATAAAAAAGGTAAAGAAATAAAATACATGGTTTGTGTGTTAAAGAAAAATAGTAAAATGGAAAGAAACTAGGCATGGATTTCATAATTTCAAATATATAGATCAGGGAAGGTCTCAGTGAAAAGGGATCATCTAAATAAAGAAATAAAAGAAGGTGAAGGAGCAACCCATACAGTCACCTGGGGAAGAGTAGAACAGGTTGCAAGAAGAGCAAGTGCAAAGATCTTGAAACAGGAGCATGTTTGAGAAAGAGAAGAGGCCAGTGTGGCTAGAGTGAAAGGAATAAAAGGGATAGTAAGGTGGCATAGTGCCTAAGCATTTGACTGCTAACCAGAAGGCTGGCTGTTCAAACCCACCCTCAGAAGGAAAATTGGGCAATCTACTTCTGCAGTGATACCACCTTGGAAACCCAGAGGGGTTGCTATGAGTCGGACCCAACTCGACAGCAGTGAGTGAGTATGAGGCCAGACAGGTAACAGTGTGGAGAGACAGATTACATAGGCCCCAGTAGTTCACAATAAGAGTTCTGAGTGAGATGTGAGGCCATTAAAGGTTTTGAGAAAAGAAGTGACCATTTATGTTTAAAAGATGATTCTAGAGTTCAGGAGACATGTATAAGCTGGAGATATGAATTTAGGAATTATCAGCAAGAGATGATATTTAAAGTGTTGACATCATAGGTCAACAGTTTACTGTTGTATATAAATTAAAATTTCTGACTGGATTTCAGTACTGATCCCTCAAAAAGTTGTTCAGCTCATCAAAACCTTCAAGTCATACAAAAATCTGAGGAAGTTTTCTGATCCCAGAGCTACTTAAGAATCACCAAATCTTCCCTACTTGTTCACTTTTAACTGCTCAGTCGGCATGATTCCATCTCACTGAGCCAAGAAATAGCTTATTAGATTATTAGACATTTCAGTAAAAATGCACATCAGTGTCTTGTTCGACAAATTGAACATGAGAAAGAAATAGACTTTGGGTATGGCTATTTCAGTTACAGCAATCTGTCACAAATAATAATATTATTCTCTGGCTTTTGACCTTTCCCCAGCCACTGACTCTATGCATAGGAATTGAATGTTGGCTAGGTTGTCTGTGGTTCACATAGACCACCAGCTGGGCATGCTAACCACAGCCTTCTTTTAATGATGCCTAAGAATGAATGGTTATTATTATTATTTTTGATGAAAAAGTTAATCATTTCTGTCCTTATTTTTATCTTATTCCTTAATACAATTTTTGGATCTATGAGATGCATGTCCTCCTGCTACTGAGAACAAAAAGCATTCTCTTCTGAATAAATGATAGGCTTTTACTATCATTCCCCAGGAATGGATTTAACTGAGAACTGGCCACGTTAGCTGTTGCCAGAAAGAGGGACCATGAATGAACTACTGTAAAACAAGTATTTTTTTTGATAGACAACTCTTTTAACCTAAATTATAGAGAATTCCATATATCAAATCCATTCTCAATTGATTATTTCACTGTGTATTTTACAACTCCTAAAGGGCAGACCAGAAATAAAATTGTTCAAAGTTAAATGTTCTAAGGATATTTTTTTTTCCTGGCCAGATTGCCTTGAAAACTGCCCAGACTGAACCCGCTGGGGTTATGTTATATGGAGAATTTGGGGATTCAATCCTTCATCTGTCTGGGCATTAGAACAGAGTCGAAGTCACATTTTAAGGAGAATCCTGGCCCTACATGGGAGTTCTCTTTTGTCTGACTTGCACCCACACCTAATAAAGCCTCTTGTTAAGTTCCTCACTTTTCACATACCTTTGGGTTTTTGTTTCTTATTATTTCCTTTAATTAATTTCAATTCATTCAACAGGTATTTTTAAACACCTCCCATGGGCCAGGTACTGTGCTATGAGTATGCACAGGAGGAAGCAACAATGATCCCTGCCTTCACAGAGGAGTTAAACATTAGGTACCTGTTAGGACATATAATCTCAGGTTTAGGGACACCCAGTAGCCAATAAAAGTTCTACCTGAAACAAAATTAAATGACAGCTTGTTTCAAATTCCTTCATTCTCCACCAGTTATTTAAAAATCTATACATGGATGGTAAAACCAGCAAAAACCTCATATAGATGATATTTTACTGGTACTTCGTAGAATTGCTTTTACTGAAGTAAGCCTCAGAATGATGTCATTGACTTACATTAAGGATGCTATATGACACAGCTCTCTGAAACCCTTCACACTGTTCAGTAGAATGATTCTGTTACATTTACCAGGAACACACTAAGTGGCAAGCTCTTTTGGGGCACCTTTTTTTTCCCAGGGCCTGTTTACTAAATGAATAAAGGAAACTACATATTGTGGTAGGTGGTTGATTTTGGTGTTTACAGTAGAACTATGATAATTTTATTTATTAAATCCTGCCTTGTCCCAGAAATATAATCAGGTCACTTGGAAATAGGTCCTAAAGACAGAGAAAAACAATGGTATAGGCATAAAATGGAGACAGGAATGAGGCAAATACAAAATACGTATCACAAAAATGCATTTATTGTAGGTATATCATTTCATCCTAAGCTTTCTAGAAACCTCTCTAAGGAGGAAAATGTGATTAGTTGCATAATTCATAGTGCCTATTAGCTTAAAAAACAAACTACTTGCCTGAAAGAAACATACTTATTTCTGACACCAAAACAAGAAAGAAATCTGTCTGGAGAGTTCTCTCCTGGCTAGCTCTCTTTCAAAACAATGAGGAAGATGTCAAAGTGACAAAGACCAAGAAAGTGTTCACAGCTGGCTCTATTAATATTCAAATGAATGAAACTTGGAGACTTATAAGATTTCATGACAGTTTTTAGTTTTTCCCCACATTTGTAGTTTCTTTCCATCTGTTTACCCTATCATCAATAACCATATTCATTCTTAGTGTGTGTCAGTGACTGTCAACTGTCCCCTAATACCCATTCTTCTCTTCTTTCTTTTAGTAACAGTTACTGTTCTGGTTACCTAGTGCCACTCTGACAGGAATATACCACATATGGATGGCCTTAACAAACAGGAGTTTATTCTTACAATTTGGAGGCTTTAAGTCCAAGTTCAAAGTGCCAGGCTCTAGAGCCTGGGTGAAAGCCCCTCAACCTTGGGGTCTAGCTCTGTGTCCTGCTCCTGGTCCACTGGAGCTAGAAGCGTTTCTTCACTCAGACGCTGCTGAGGCTGAGAAGCCCCAAAGTTAACAAGTAAAAAGGGCACAGTCCCAATGTTACCAAACCACACGGCAGGCCATTAACTTAAGTCCATTATAAGTCCCAAGGTTGGCAGAGCATAGCAGGCTGCTGAGCAACGACACACTACATGCAGGGTCCAAGTGTGCCACAGGCTAGAGACCATCCCCAAGGCTTCTCCTTATATACAGGAAGCAGACCACATCCCAAAGGCAGCTACTCAGCTGCTTGTGGTAGATCCCACCATGGAGCTGATTGCCAGTCTCATCATGGGGAATAACTACCACCAGCTGCCAGCCACTCAACCAGGCCCAGCCAAGTTGACACACAAATATAACTACCACAGTTACTGCTCACAGTGTTTTTTAAAGCAGGGTACATAGCTGCCAGGCTAGAGACTAAAAGTTTGCCAGGCTCCCTTATAGCCAAATGTGGCCACATGACCAAGTTCTTGCCATCGGAATACAAGTGGAAATGATATATGCAGACAAGGGGAATACCCAGGGAATGGTAATAAGACGGAAGGAACCTGGGCTCCTAAGGCAGAGTAACTCACACATCCTGACTATTTCTGATATACCTGACTACCTCTGAATTGTTTCAAAAAAAAGAAACCAACCTCTATATTATTTGAGACATTGTATTTTCAGGTGCCTTCATTATAACAGTTTTAGCCTGTACCTTAACCAAGTTAGAAAATCTTAAAATATGTTACATTTGCTTCAGGGTTCAGCAAGTTGAAAAAGCCTGAAAGAACAAAATTTGTTCTATGAAATATGAATGGAACAGATCACTCTGGAAGGGAAATATATAAGACCTACAAAATAAATTACTGGGAGTGGTACAGGTACCACTTTAGGGTTTAATACTGTCCTAAAAAGACTTCTGGGTAATATCCAACATTTAAGCAGAATGCAAATGGCATACAAATTAAAAAATACGCTTTCAGTCCTAAAGACTTCTATGATTAAAATCTTTAAGGAAAAACGCATTACCAAGCTTGGTAATTTTATATAACTAATTATAATACAATTTTAACAAGATATAAAATATCTTGACCTATCCCCAGCCTCTGACTCTATGCACAGGAGGAATTGATTGTGGGCTAGGTTGTCTGAGGTTCACGAAGACTACCAGCTGGGCATGCTAATCACAGTCTTCTTTTAATGATGCCTACGAGTGAATGGTTGTTATTATTTTTAATGAAAAAGTTAATCATTTCTGTTCTTCCTTATTTTTATCTTATTCCTTAATATAATTTTTGTTAACATAATATCGTGTTAAAATAGTAGATTTTATAATATATAAATATACAACATATAAATCTTCCATAAATAAGGTAGTCTAGCAGAATCAAATTAGAGTTGTTAAAATTTTAAGTTTTGTTGACTTACGTTTCATGGGTGCCAAAAAAGAAGATGGGATACTTGTTTGCTGGAGGCTTCACAGCTCCTTCTGGGAGTTCATCAATCTATTAAAGATAAACTTAGTTATATATTCAGTTAAATCATGGAAAATAGCTAGGATAAACACAATATGTTGTTGTTGTTTGCTGTCGAGTTGGCCCCGACTCATAGTGACCCCTCCTTGGGTTTCCGAGGCAGTATCACTACGGAAGTAGGATTGCCCAATCTTCCTTCCGAGGAATGGCTGGTGGGTTTGAACTGCCAGCCTTCTGGTGAGCAGTCAAGTGCCTTAGGCACTATGCTACCAGAGCTCCCAAACACAATATAAACACTGCTAATTTCTTGCTAATTTCAGAAAAAAATGACTCTAATCAAAATCTTAAGTTGTTTCCTTGAATCATATAAAATGATTCTGAAGTTCTTGTTTGTCCCACCACATGGGCAGAAACACTGTAAACTGATTATAACTATTATGGTAATACAAAAGCAGGTACCAAAACCACTCATATTTCCTTTGACTCAATAGAATTACTCTTAGAAATCTGTCTTAGTGAAATAATTCAAGAGTAAGATGAAAAAATAAAAATGATGTACTTTTTTTATTTGAATAATAGCTCGTTTTATGTATATACTTAAAAGAATGCAAGGTTGGTTCAGTATAAGAAAAACTATCAATGTAATGTTGTTGTTGTTGTTGTTATGTGCCATTGAGTTGAACCCGACTCACAGCGATCCCACCTTGGGTTTCTGAGGTGGTATCACTGTGGAAGTAGATTACCCAACCTTCCTTCTGAGGAATGGCTAGTGAGTTTGAACTTCCAGCCTTCTGGTTAGCAGTCAAGCGCCTTAGGCACTATGCTTCCAGAGCTTCTACATTAATAGAATGAAGGGAAAAAACACCCATGAACATCTCAACTGATGCAGAAAAAGTCCTTAACAAAATCTAATGCCCTTGGACCAGGTTTGCTGGTCTGATAGAGCCTGGTGGAACCACTGAGACTATGCCCCTAACTGCCCTTCAGGTCTAGAATTGAACCCACACCTGTGGCTTCTAAGCCAAGCAGAAGACTGGCACAGGAGTTGAACATTTACCTGAGGTAAATACACTCCCTGGAGAGAACAATCATGGGAGAAACAAGGACTGTCTATGTACAGGGAGATAGCTCAGGGGACAGGGGTGCATGGAGGAATGGACACAGGGAAGAGGTGACTGTTGGGAGGAACTGGGAGGGGAGCTGTTGCATTGTGGTGAATTGTGAAAAAAAATGTGCATGAATTGCTGTACGGAAAATGGATTTGCTCTGGAAACTTTCACCCAAATCACATTAATTCAAAAATTTTAAAAAAATCTAATGCCCTTTCATGATAAAAGTATTCCTAAAACTAGGAATAGGAAGGAACTTACTTGACAAGGTAATGGCCATATTAAAACAATCCAGTTAAAAAACGGGCCAAGGAATAACATGGACCTCTGGTGGCACAGTGGTTAAGCCGTCAGCTGCTAACCAAAAGATCAGTGGTTTGAATTCATCAGCTGGTATGCAGAAAAAAGATATGGCAGTCTGCTACTGTAAAGATTACAGCCTTGGAAACCCTGTGGAGGAGTTCTACTCTGTCCTATAGGGTTGCTATGAGTCGGAGTCAACTCAGTAACAATGGGTGTGATAAAAATATGTACAGGGTATAGGGTGGAATATATGTGAGAAAAATTGATTCTATGGAGGACAGAATTAATGGAAAAGATTTAGAATTCTGTATTTTAAGATATCAGTTGAAAATAAAGTTTCTCTCTATAAAAGGAAACAAAAATTAGGGACAAGGACTTAAAAAGACATTTCTCCATGGAAGATATACAAATAGTCCATAAGCACACAAAATATGTTGATCATTAGTCATTCAAAGAATGCAAATCAAAATTATAATGAGATACCGCTTCATACCCAGTAATATGGCTATTATCAAACAAACAGAAAATAGCAACTCTGGGAGAAGATATGGAGAAACTGGAATCCTGTACACTAATGATAGGACTATAAAATGGTGCAGCCACTGTAGAAAACAGTTTGGTGGTTCCTCAAAAGGTTAAGCACAGAATTACTGTATGACTCAGCAATTCCAAAATATACAAAAGAATAGAAAGCAGAGACTCAAACAGATATTTGTACACCAGCGTTCACAGTATATTTACAATAGCCAAAAGGTGGAGATAACTTAAGTGTCCACCAGCACATAAATAGTTAAGCAAAATGTGGTATATACATCAAATGCAGTATTATTCAGGAATACAAAGGAGTCATGTTCCAACACATGCTACAACATAGATGAACTTTGTAACTATTATGTTAAATGAAATAAGCCAAATACAAAAGGGCAAATATTACATGATTTCAATCATATAAAGTAGCTAGAATAGGCAAATTCATAGACACAGATAGTACATTAGAAGTTACCAGGTGCTGGGGAGAAAAGGGGAATGGGAAGTTATTGCTTAGTGAGTGCAAAGTTTCTATTTGAGATGACAAAAAAGTTCTGGAAATAGATAACAGTGATGGTTACTTACCAGTGTAGACATACTTAATGATACTAGTGAATTACACATTTAAAAAATGCCTAAATGGTAAATTTTATGTTATGTGTGATTACTACAATAAAAAAAAGAGAAAGGAATCAAATATGAAGTTTAGAACTAAAAGTATAATAACTGAAATGCAAAAAGTCACTGGGTGAGATTAACAGCAGACTGGAGATAGAATGAATCAGTAAACTTCAAGATGATAGGAATTATCCAATTTAAAGAACAGAGAGTGAAAAGGTTGATAAAATATAAACAGAGCCTCAAGACTTGTGGGACAATAATCTAACATATATGTAAGAGCAGTCCTAGAAGGAGAACAGAATGAGAATGAGGCAGAACATGTGAATAAATAATGGCCCAAATTTAACGAACGAACTGACTTAGAGTGCAATAAAAGGTAAAAGATAATCCTGTCTCTTGAAGAAGTCTGAATGCCTTCTGAATTAACAAATGACAACAGCCTAAGGATTACTGTACCATTACAAATTCATCCCCCCTAAACTAAATGAATCACGTATCATAGAGCAAACAAGCTCTGGAGTCCTGAGAAAAGATGGGTCTAGTAAGTGTAGGAACTTGTATTTAAGTCTTGGCTCTGGTTTAAATTGTGGATCAAAGATAACGAGACGACTTAGGGTCTTAACTTTCACATCTGTAAAATAAGATGGTTGGATTGGGTAACCTGTAGGTTTCCTTCAAGTCCTAAAATGCCACAGCTTGTCTAAAACCGAGCCAATTTCCTCTGAATTTGTTTTTGCTTCCATCTTAATTATTGGCACAATCACCTACTTTGCTACCAAGGAAAAACCTTAACCTTTTAATTATCTCCTCAAGTCCTACATTCAGTTCATCACTGAATACTGACAATTTAGCCCCTAGGACACCTCTCAAATTGATCACCATTCTCATTAAATCAATTCTCATGGTCTTTTGACAAGGCCATTAGAGTAGCCTTTCAAAATATCTTTCTTATTTGAAGGTTTTCTCCTGTTACCTACTTATACAACTTCTGTGAAAACCTTGACTGTACTACATTCAATACTATTCCACAAAAACAACTTAAAATGAGTAATTGTATTTTGAACAAACAAAAATAGAACATAAAGTGAAAAAGCATATGGTTAGGTATGTGGTAGGAGTTACTAGTTGATAAAAACCACCATATCATGTACTGAAAACTTTTATGAGAAAACAAGGAATCAAAAAAATCTTTTAAAAACTTTTCTTTCAAATAAAAACACACAATTTTTGGTCAAACTCTTCCTTGGTTATAATGTTATATAACTGACACCTACTGCAGAGGTTGCAAACAAGTGGCCCTGTGCCATGTCGGGTCTGAAAATATTTTTTGTTTGCCTCATACAGTGTTTTTTAAAATTGAATTAGTTGCAAACATTTAAAAACTGCAAGATTCACATTAAAATCAGATTAATGGCTTCTGTGAAGAAAACATGAAAATAGGGAAATCTAGCTGTTAACAACAGCCTGGAAATCCCACATGGCTGTTTAGGTTAGGATGTGCTTTCCTTTCAAGGACTGAACCACTGAAAATCTTGCCTGATTGGATATAAAGAGCACCTTTTCCCACAGTAAAGAGTTTGGAATAAGTCTTCAGTTCTAAATCTAGTTTCAGTTTCTACAACCTGTATTAGCAGAAATTGAACCTTTCCTTTTCCATCTCCCTAGTCAGAAGTCTCACTAATGCCTAAGGAGCTCTGGTAGCAGAGTGGCTAAAGCACTTGACTGCTAACCAGAAGGCTGGCGGTTCAAACCCACCAGCAACTCCTCGGAAGGAAGGTTGGGCAATCCTACTTCAGTAGTGATACTGCCTCGGAAACCCAAGGAGGGGTCACTATGAGTCTGGCCGACTTGATGGCACATAATAACAGTCAAAAGTCTTACCTGGCCCTCCTCCAGCAAAATCTCTCTAATTGTATGCAAATACTTATATAGTACATTTTAATGAGGGAAGAACTCACAGCTGTATTCTGATCTTCCAAGCCCTACCTAAAATTTTTTTTTTTTAAAGATAACCATGTAAAACTAAATTCAGACACTAATGAATCCAGTTCTCAAGACTTGTGTCAATTTGGGCACATCTTTTATTTTCATTGCCAATTCAACTGACACTTTTGAATTATCAACATAAAATGATATGTAGTATCTCCTTTTTCCTTTGAAATTTTATTTTTCTGATATAAAGACTGCCATCCCTCCTTTTGTTTTGTTCAAGTATGATAGATTTTTTTTCCAATTTTGGAATGAAATTTGCCTTTTATTATTTTGTGTTAAGTGGGTCTCTTCTAAGTATTACATTGTGGAATCTTATTCACTGATCCAAACAGTTGTAATTTATACTTGTTATATAATGTCTGGCTTTTGTCATCTTACTTTTATGCTTTTTATGCATATTTAGAAAATATGCCCCTATTTTCTCTCTTCATGCTTTTATTCAATGTATCATAACACAAATATATATAATTTATCAAC